ATGGGGTTGTATTTAAATTAATCAAGTTAGAGCCACTTAAAGTTCTTATTTGATTAGTTTAAATTTGTGAATACCCTGTATAAATTTGTGGATACCCTGTGAATTTTTGAAAAAATAAAAGTAATTTTATAGAATGGAAACTCAAATCAGCTTGGCTGCTTATCTTTTTTAAAAGATCAAATTTAACTGAATTATTTAGTTAATGAGTCTTACGTCTCATTAGCGCACGATTAACTTTTGAAAGTCTCCAAAATAGTCGAGCTGGAGTTAGATAACTGCAGTGTTCAATGATCGAGCAACAAGCAAACGTACCCTATCCAGTAAAATTGGCTCACTTTCCTGAAGTTGCAAAAGTTGCATCTCTAAAACATTTATAGTTAGCCTTAAAATGCATAGGACTGAAAGTTTCCAATGGCATTAACGCACACTAATACTTAACTAAACATTTACAACAATTATCGCTGTAAGTTTTTTTTTGGAAATTATCCACCTTTTCTGCCCTATGAGATTAGTATGGATCAGTGAAATAATAAAAAAATATACACTAAAACAAATATAGTTGATTTTTTCCAAATACACTTCTATGATCTCCCCGTTAACCTTTCTCAATAATTATCACAAGTACCCATATAGTTTATATTGCCCACTAGCTATAAAGCACACTCATCCAAGAAGAAACGTGGGCATAATAAAATAATTTTAAAATTCTGCGGCCAACCTCTCTTCCTCTCGAACTAAAACTTGCGCCCTTTAGTTAGAAAACTCGAAAAGCACACAGTGAATAACATTTACTTTGGCGTTGCCATTTGGAAGATGTAACGAAAGGTAAACAGCTCGACAGAAACCGACCTGAATTCCGGAAAATTTGACTGAACCCATTCCTGCTTATAAAATGCAAACATAAAAAAAAAACGATTATTAGATTCTGTTGAAACGCCATTCTACGGGCAAATCGATGGAAATTCTAACGAACTATCAACTTACGTAATGTAAAAGTCGCTACTCATTTCCGCTGGCAAGTAATCGAAGTTTAACAATTTGTGTCGTGGAAAAGATGGAAAATGTGTCGTATAATTTAAATTTCTCTAAAAATAGATTTCTGTATAAATGACTGTATAAAAGACTATATGGTCTGTCTGGGTAAATCAAGTGCACAACATTGAGCTTTCAATAACTAAATTTTAGCCTATTTGTAAATACAGCTTCATAAAGCCGGGAATCAAAGATCATTGGTCGATCAAAGATCATCGCTTCAGCTCAAGACTGCCATTCGATGAAGGAACATTTTAACAAAACAAAAAAATTTCATTAATTCAAAGCAACTAAACCTGATCATCATTATTAATAAAATATCAAAATCACATAGAAACCCCTTAAATCAATTAACAGGTATTTTGTAAACTGTTGCTTCATTCAACGTAACAAAGTGGTAGTCAAAGATTTAACGAGTTTTTGGTGATGACAAGGATCAAATAAAATTGGTGCTTACAAATAAGTTATAGACCACTAAATTAAAGTTTCATATAGAATTGGAACTTAACATAATGTTAATGTCAAAGTTATAAATAATTTTGAAATTTTGTAAACCCAATGCTATTGATGAAAAGGCCTCAAATTGAAAATTTTAATAATATTCTTCAATCATCCATATAACCCAAGTAATATGGTACATACATTCCAACTATTAACATTTTAGTCACTTGAACATAATTGACTAAAATGGCATTTGTGGTCTCAAAAGTATCAAATCAAAAACATGTGGAATGGCAATAAGTGAGATAACAAGAACTTGCTAAACTAAATGTCACATATGAGAAACTTCCAGCAAACTTTGATGATTTGACTTCTGGAAAAAATAATTGTATAACAATTTTTCCACACTTTTTTATAAAGGCCTTATTATTGGCACGATAATTGTGCGAAAGAAGCATCATAGACGTTGTTAAAAATATCCTAAATACCACAGAAATACATTTTTAATATTTTTACTATTTCCGTAACAAGAACAATTAAGTTGGCGTTAAAAGAAGAAGAATCGGTTTGCTATCAACTTAAATGTCGGCCAAAAATTTAACGATGCAAATCATTAGCTTTACTGAATTTTCGGAATGTGTGTTATTGAAATCTTTGCGATGTAAAATAAAAAACAGTTATTGGTTGTTATACCAAATACGGTACGGAGCCACGTTGTGCAGAATGGAAAATTACATGTTACAAGCTGTAATTTTCTTCGCTCGGAGCAAAATTAGGTGCGCAGTTAGGTATTACTGAACTGTCAGAGAAATTATTGAAATCTTTATGGAAATGTGAATAAAGTTCTATACAACTATTTATTTAAGCTGAGCTAGAAATTCTAGACTAATTTCTATTATTGCATATTTTGATGTTGCTCACCAAAAAATGCAGTAAAAGTTAATGTTAGAAGTATGGAAATTTTAAATTCATAACATCATTGAAATGTGTTAATATAAAATAAGCTTTTCGTCAAACAACTTACGTAAGTACGCAGAATGCTTTCAAGATTAACTCACCAGTCATCCCTGCAACAAAATGAAAAAAAAAACTGATGATTGCACGATTTAAAAAAGTGAAAAAACATCGTTTTAACATGCTTGCTTCAAATCCACATCTATATCAAAGATAGCGAAATGTTATTCCGAAAGTTAAGGCATATATCGACTGTGATTTATTAACTAACGGAATGTTATTGAGAGGTTTTCAGAAAAAAAACAGTGATACGCCTGAAATAGTGCATTTCCCCAGTGATTGATTAGCCAAAGCTAAATGGGAACGATTCCTCGACAGGCTCCAATATAAATGAGAATTTAATATGCCCAAATAAACTATTGAAGCATACCAACGACTGCTATGAGAAAAAATACCTGCGGATGAGCAAAAACGGCTAAATGAAGCAGGCGTTTTACAGAAACGAGTCATATAGAGATGTGATACGAAAATGTTGCGTCATTCTCCGCACATAAATAACAATATTCATGTATTCGCATTTATTCGAGACATACGCGAATAACACATTATGAAAATAACTCTAAAACGTATAGGGCTTTATCTTTTTTCTCCAGGTTTATATTCTTCTGCTGAATTTAAATGCGAGACGATATTTTTCAAATCTGAAACGCTGGTTGTCATGTTTAATCCAGTAAAATGAGATATCCTTAGTACACGTTGGTGAGCTGAAGCAGGATAAATTTGAAACAAAAATATCTTTTTCTGGTGTTGGCGCTATTAATCTAGCAACTTTAATTAACTGGGGTAAAAAATGTATGCTTAATGGAAGTATATGCCTCGTACACTACGAAAAAAGATTAGTATAGAACCTGCAAATTCTATAGAGGATTAAACCACAAATCTTCACTCGATCAATAAATCTAGAATTGAAAATAGAAATTTAAAAGTATGAAAATATGATCTAAAGAAGTGGCATTCTATCTACTCGCTGGATTGAAGTAAAATTAAATTATCGGTGAAATTACCAAGATATATGCGCCTGATTGGATTCGCGGCCCAGCACAATAAAGCCAAAGCGAAATATAGAAAGCCGTTTTTCATAATAACGTCAGTAATAGCTATAAATAGTAGTATACAGTGCACTCTATCTCTATAAATCCATTCGTGAATTATAATGGTTTCTACACGCCCCGCAGCATATCTGTATTTGCAATTTAAAACATTATTAAAACAACACCTACCGAGGAAATGGGCTTTACCGGCCTATATAAGTTTGCAATACCTCAATTTATTATCGGATTAATCGTATCAATTATTTAAGCGGTCGCATAATTAATGCTTTCAGCTGACCACGCTCTCTGTCTTCTTAGAACCCTCTTTAACAGCATTGAAGTTCAATAGGGTCCAACTAATCTAGGAGCGCCCTTTTATGTTTTTTCGACATTAAGTAGTCTAGACCTTTACTTATGTGTTATTACTTGATAAATGTTTAATATTAGTTTTGCTTCAGCTCTCAAACAACGACAATTATTAGCAGATTAGCTACACATGCCAGCATCCCTAATAATGAGATTATACCCCATTTAATCACCCTTCCTCAAAATGTCTAATCAATCTTCAGTTTGTGCTTACACCAGAAGATTTGCTTGGATCATGGCAAGAATTACGTTGTTTCAGTATGAAACACTAGCCGTTCATTAACCAACAAGCGCAAACCATTAATACAGGGAAGGCTTTATCGACAACAAACTAACGAAATAGATAACGCTTCATTTTGGGTAAATTAAAGGAGAGGACTATTAATCAGACGGGCATTATACCAGTCCAGAATATCAGTTGAGCTTCGGCGAAGTCAATCCAATCTTTATCGATTATCGAAAACATTAAATATTTATTTCATCAACTCCAAACCAGAAATTAGTGCTGGTGACTTTCCCAATCTGAGATCGGCTAAAATGGTTCTAAACTTCGAATCTACAATTTCCAAATTTAACTCAAGTTTCATTATTTTAACGAAACTTAAATAACTTTAATAAGGCGACAGATATATAACAAAAAAAAATACTAAGAATCTTCAACAAATATTAAGTTTATCCTGTTTTTCTTCTCGTATTGTCTGCGGAACTAAAATATGCGGTTCGCCTAAATATTAAGATAGCAAAAATATTGGGTTTGTAAAGTGTAGGTACATATCTGTTGCTGATTTAGTCACCATAGATCATTTGGTTTCTATTTAACTTACATACTACAATTTTCCAAATAAAAAACCTCAACCTAGACGGAATAGATCGTAATATAAGTTCTCTGAACTATAGGACTGGAAACACCAAAATATTTAAATTTGATTTCAATCGTCTTACGATAGCCAAATAGGCATATTTTGTAAATAAATCGCATCAAAAATTTATTAAAAATAGATCACATATTAATTTTTCTGGAAAATGGCAATAAAGCGAAATGTTATTTAGCAGTTTCAATCAAAACAGGAGTATATCGACAGCACCTTCGTAAGTACTGCGATCATAAGCTATAGTTGTACTGTAACATAAACATCACAACATACGTATACATGCAGATAATCGTCTGTAATAATATAATATCCACGTTCTAAATCTCCACGATCAAAGCAAATATATTGTGTAAATTTGAGCCTAATTGGTTAACGGTTTAGGACTCTCTAAGACATTCTAAGAGAAGCGGCAAGAGAAGAGAATATTAATGTCTATGATATAGAAGATTTGACTATATGAAGGTGTACTATTGATAAGCATTGATAATGAACATTATTTATTAACAAAAAATGTAATTAAAAATAGGGGAGTAAAAACTTTCTACGGGACAATTTACAATTCTGCTTTTACTCAGAAATGATAATTGAGAATAAGTTCCTCCATTTTCCATTCAATTTTCAACGTTTGGAAAGTTATATGGCGAAAGTCTCCATTAATAATAGTAGAAAAACTGTAAAGTTTGCTTTAAAAACTAAATGAAAACAAAAAAAATAAAAGATTTACCAGGTACACCTACATCTGCAAAACCCAATTCAGAAAAAGTTAATATATTTGACTTAATTTTTTCTCTTGCTTCTTATACTTTTACATTTGTTATCCATATGTCCAAAAACATGTATGCCTTCCAATTCATTTTGTCCAGTTTTTGCCTGAACAGAAGCAAACAGGTTTCTACAATAAAGTTTCTTAATTATGCAGAGATCGTCTAACACATTACTTTTAATATTTTATGCACGTCGAAGGGAAATATCGATTGAAGTGTTCAACATAACGATGCCCTTAATAATGAGATTATATTCAGCAACGTGCATAATTAATACCCGAAAGGTCCAGAGATCGGATTCTCCATTTATCAAAGCTTCCTCGAAATTATCAACCTTTAGTTTGTGCTTACACTAGAAGATTTGCTAATATCCTGGCAAGGAACACATCGTATCGGCATAAAACAGGAGTTTTCCATTAACCATCAAACCGAAACCATTAATCTAGTCCAAGATTTATTCGCCCAGATCCGACAAACCAGATAAAGCCCTATGTTGGATGCAATTTGACGCGGGTACTTATTATTAATTACGAAATTGTTTCTTTATTCTTCATTCTTTCAATATTGGACTAGGCGCCAATCAACAACTATTCATCAACTTCAAAGAAAAATGTGTTTTGCAACTATATTTAGTATATTAGATATAAAAATATCAAACATACTCTCCTCTCTTATACCTATGTATTTATATTAAATTGTATAACAATCCCATGCTTCTAACTTCTCAAATATTCCAGAAGCAATTCATTTTAAACGAATTAGGATATGCGCAAATATGTTATATAAATAGCAAAATTTCACCTACGTTGACCGTTCAAGAAACAGTTTTTAGTTGAAAAATAATGAAAAGAAAGTTAAAGCTCTTGTTGCTTAAAAAAGCCGTAGTACTTTACACGACCATATTTTGACTTTTTTTTGAACACTTAACAGAGCAATTTCTTAAACCAAAAATTTGGTTTTAATTTATAAATGTGTTTGCACAAGAAAAAGTATGGGCTGTTAACTACAATTTCCCTAAGCGGAGTGAAATCAAATTCAATTTTCCTTTCCGAGAAGCTATAGGATGTTTTTTATGTCCTTTCACTTCTGATCTGCCAAAATAGCCGCAATTATTTTACACGAGTGTCTTTTCAGATTGCATATTATTTGTTGTTTGTTGAGTTTTATTTATAGTCTAAATTTTTCTGATGATTAAAGCAAATACAACGCCTAAAGCTGATATGCAGTATCCAAAACACCTGGTACTTTCCTGAAAATTCGTATATAGCTTCGTCGCATTTGGACCGCAAAATTTCCTTTAGAGTGTCAGATAATTATGAGAACAAAAGGCTCAAATAATTAGCAATATTTTCAAGTACACGATTATTACAAAACGACGTGACAGGATCGTGAAGGTGATTATCCAGATCCGAGGCGCGACGACAGTTGATTTGTTGCTTTTGGCGTCCAGCTACTTGGCGTTTCGTTTTTATTTCATTACGAAACAGCATCTATTTATCTTTTTTCCGAAATCTATTTATTTCAGTCCGTCAGATTAACGAGTCACTATTTTTTCGCTTGAGCAAAATTACGTTTAATAAACTCATATAAAATCATTCCTATTTAAAGCTGGACGATGGCACGGCTGTTTTGAGACAAATACGCATAATAAGATAAGGAAGATGACCTAAAATAGAATGCATCTCGAAATTGATTATGTGAGGTCAGTACAATCGATATGAGCTTGAGCCAATTGGCTCAGCTGAGTCGTAACCAAGAAACAATTAAATAGACTCCAAATATGTTCAATTCGGAACTCAGAAATACCGAGTGAATTAATTGAGAATAAGTGAAGTATTTCGCGAATTCTTGATGATAAAAAATCCAAACAGTATACATAATAATTTAATTTAATTAATTA